TAATTAGCAGGTACAAGGAGAGGCCCTGGTGGTGGAAATTAAAACTAGGGTCTCCTGCTTGTTGATGCCCTATCAGAATCCTGAGGGCGGGAAAAGTTCAATGCCGATGGAGGAGACACGCAGCTACTTCCGACTTATCATTTCCATTATAAAGAGAAAGTTGATTTGTCAGCTTGGATTTCCACCATGTAGCAGCATCCAACAAATTGGATCCTGAGTTGTGGTCCTGTGATTTAAAAAGCGGCTTGGAGTTAGCAAACCGAATTCTGATTTTACGATTACGAGGGACAGAAAACCCAATATAAGGAGTTGCACATAGGTTCTTTGATATTCGCCTGCGATTTCTACTAGAAAGAGAAAAATACATAAGCGCTGGGATTCACACTATAGAGAAAAAAGTAAAAGAAATCTAGAAAACCACCAGAAACGAACCATCGTCGACCGCCTTCGTCTGCACCGATCCAACACGACAGGATTAGCGGTTTCCACTTCCTCTACACGAATTCCTTGAGTTGCAAGAGGATTCTAACAACTTTGGAAAGAAGTAGAGGAGGGCCAGCATAAGTGATTTCGACGGTTGCAGGGAAAATTATGGTTGCTTGGAAGGGTACGACAACCGAAGGAGAGCTGGGGTTTCTTTCCAAGCTCTGATACCATGAAAAAAAAACAAATTTTCTGAGGAAAAATTACTTGCATATTTTCAATATTTACACATACGAAAGGTACATATATAGGCAATTGTATCTCCTAATTTACAAACTTTCCTAATATATCTCATCTAAAATATGGAAAGGAGATATTCTAAAATAAAAGAAAAGAAACATAAATAGGAAGAGAAGAAAAATAAATCAAAGAGTTTCCAAAGTTGTCTTTAAATTCAACCCTCCATGATCCTTATAGGTAGCCAACCGGCCCCACCATCCAAAATTTCCACAACGAGAAACAAGGACAATCAACTAAAGATTTTTCTTAGAAAATGATTTTGGTTTAACATCAAATGATGTGTTATGTTAATGCTTATTTTTTAATCTTATCTTAAGGTTTGGTTAGGAATAACATTAATATTTTGCTATTAAATTTAAGAACATGTGATATCTCTTTCATAACTAGTGATGAGCCTAGCATATAAATAAGGTCTACCCAAAAGTATGTGAGCAATGCCCGTGAAAGGACATCACGTCATATTTAAGCCTCATAAATCTCTAATTTGACAAAAATCAAACATCAATTCATGACAAAAGAAAAAGAAGTGTGGTTCACAAAACTAACATAAAAGAGCACATGGTGTGGCTTTGGTTTGAAATTTACCTAGCCAACGTATGAGTGATAAAGACATTTGTCGCACTACCATCATGAATGACACATTTTATCTCATTTATAAGAGAATGTTTTCCCTTTCCAATCCTATGGCTCAATTTTTTTTATAATCATATCATAATGTCTAATTAAATTTCATAACTTAGATCCAACTCATATAAAAAGGGAAACTTTTAATAATATGTATTTTCAATCTCTATCTTCTTGATCAATTGGGAGTTCTTATACTCTAAAATCATGATTTGAACCTAAACAGTGATACAACATGACATCTTTTATAACACTAGAAATAAAAAATGTCCTCTTATGTGGTAGAAGAAATGCTAGAAAGCCTAATAATGTGTGGTTTGGATAACCTAGCAGAGGGTGTAACATATGGTGGTTGGGAATACCGTAGGATTAAGAAGTTGATATGGCAAGTCTAGCAGAACACCTTAGAAGATTAGAATAATCTTTAAAAAAAAAGAAGGATTTGAAATTTTACTCTCTTGATTTTCACTTAACAAGGGAAAGTGAAAATCTTTCTTGAAGAATTAAAGATAAAAAATTCCTACTAAATTTCTTATATCTGGTTTAAGAGCGGTAATAAATTAATATACAAATTGCCATTATGAATGCATTTTATTCTAGATATGAGATCTTCAAAAGTGCTCTAGCACTCATTTACCTTCATACTTAAGGAAAATTATTTGAGCACATTTTAATGGTACTTTTGCTTTAACATTTCCTTAATTCAAGAGATCCCTTCCCAGGTATAACCTACTATGACCCTATAGTTTTACTTCTGCAAATTTTATTATTTGAAAATCATTCATTCCCTGCCAGCTAAAAAAAATCTATTGCTGGGGAAAGTCTAGAACTTGAGTTATAAACTCCATCATAAATAGGTGCTTCAACTTTAACTGTTTCTTTAAGGAATATGAGAAGTTTGGAGTTGTTAAACAAGAAGATCTACTATTGCCCTGTTTTGAATCATTTGAAAAGACCTCAAATAGAGTTTTGAAGAGGATAATAATCATTTTTCAAAATATTGAACCGAGTAAATAATCTTCAATAATTTTAAAATGTAATTAAGTGGGACGCCGAGGAAGTTTTGGAGGCATCACAACAAAAGCATGAAAATGCAATGGAATGAATGAAAAAAATTATAACTTTTAAGGATTTAAGAGGCCTTCATAAAACCATTAAAAATAAATAAAAACTATTCGGTCAATAGATTGCAACAATTCAACTTATTTAATCTAAAAAGAGAATTTAAATTTTCTGTATAATTCTCCTATATGAATAGTTTCAATAATGAAACACGACTTGCCAAAATTTACTAGAACAAAGAGAAGTGATTGTTTTGAGTTTAATGGTTTAGGACTTTGAGATTAAAATGGAGAACATTAATTTAATTGCATGCAAATATTCTATGACTTGCAATCACAAATATATAAGATCCTAAAGATAACATAAGCTATGCAACCAAAGCAAAGAAATTATGCACCTAAAGTTTGATAATAGAAGCCATGCAACCAAAGCAAATGCATTATGCACCTCAGATTAGAGCAAAAATTCAACGATGCAGGAAGCAACTTTCCAATTATCAGGGTTTTTCTTAAATGTTGAACTAACTGATTTTCTCTTGCATAACCATAGTTATAATACAAATTGATGAAGTGATGCTACAATCTTGAAAGAGTTGTAAGATAAACACAAGTAGAATGACAAAAGAATAACTACCATAACCTCATGATATGTAATCGCTTTTAACCTCACAAAAGAAAGAGAGGGAGAAAAAATCAAACAAGCTAAGTTAGAAAAAAGAGTAATCTAACTTGTATATTCAAAGAATCAAAATGTGAGACATGTCAAAGTTCTACCACCATCAACAAATTTCACATTATAAAGAGTGTGAAAAGCCATACGAATATCAAAGGTCACAGAAGTACAAAAAATGTCATGATCATGAAGTTTCAAATAATTAAATGGAACGAAATGTTTAACCTTCTCATCTTTTATCTCCCTACATTAAGAGTCCAAAGAGAAGCTATTTTTGCCCACCCCAAATCTTCAAATTGAAGCTAATTTAACACACTTTTCCCCCCCCCCCCCCCCCCCCCCCCCAATCAAAGTGATTGTGGGTTAAATTGAAGCTAAATTCCAAAAATACCCCCATTTTTAACACCCTGACATCAATTTGCTTAGCTTTAACATTTATGACTATTTTAGCATATTAAAGTAGTTTGGGACTAATTTGACACTTTTAAAAACACTCTGAATAAAGTGGCACCGTTCAAATAGTCTGGGAACCATTTTGGCAGTTCTACCGATATAAGCATATATGTTGTGAAAAAAGGCATACTAAATAAAGAATTTATATTCATTAGTGACAGCGGCATCAAAAATACCTATGTCATGGCAAGGCATGCCTGTATTTGATGACTCCTGATTTCTTTGGAGGAAGCACAACAGTTATATCCGGATCTACTAGATGATTATCATTTAAAGGATTCATCGGAGTGGAACTCTTCCACGACAAGCAAAAGTAATGTAAATATAAAAATTTACTATTGTCAAAAATTTGTGCATTGAGAAGAAACCGCTGAAAGAAAATTTTTCTTTTGGTTGTTGGGGTGTTTTTGATAAGAATTTGTTTTCATATTTTCTTTTAATAAAACATTTTATTCTATAAGAGTCGGTATACATTATGATGATCTAAAGTTTCCCCGAAGCCCATTAATTAGATTTTTGTGGTCTACTCGGTTAATGATAATGGTTTACTATGCAACCAAACTCATGGTTGTTTGATAGCTTACGGTTATTGTTACCTATGTTCAGCAGCCTTTCTAATTTTACAGCTTTGAGCGCTGGATTTAGAATTTCGCAAGTTATCTTGTTCTAGCAAGGTTTTGATTTGTAAATGAAGCCCTTTTGTCCTCGATTAAGGTGATCCCGCAGGCTTAAATTCCCAATTTGAATGAGTCTGAGCAATGCATTGTTTTGAATATAGTACAACAGATGCTTATCTATAGCACAGGATTCAATTGACGGGAATATTCTGGAATTATAAGAATATTATGGGTCAAATTTTATTTTTTAGTTCCTTATTTGCAAATCTAAGTGAGGCTGCGATTATAAAGGTAATATGAGGTACATTAAAACTCAATTAACTATTTTAGTACCAAATTATCATTTAATATGTGATTTCTTCAACTTCTCCGAGATCAAAGGAGATTGAAGATTCCTCGGAGAGGCTCTTTATGCAAGTGGGACACTTGATTTAGTGGATTCTTTTTACTTTTTTTTTCAGACATCAGTCCTGATTGATTTGATTGATTTTATCCAAGTTAGATATACTATGAATTTCCATGGTAGCATGATTTTCAATTTATAGTATAATTTTCCTACTTCTGAACTTGTACGCATTATTTCTAATTAAAGAATACCATCGAAATACCATTTGCATAAATTTCTTTGAATTTTTGTTTTCATCTAAAAGATAACAATGTCATCGAAATAAAGAATGTATGATTAATATATTGTGTGTGTTTGCATGCTTCTGTGCATTTATTTGTAGAACTGTAGTAGCAATGCTATAACCAAAGACATCCTACATCATGCATTCTCCATATTTTTATTATTAAACAAAGAAGGGGGAACGCTTAATACGTATGAACCACAGCAGTCTGATAATATACCTCATACATTGCTTCCGTGAGAATATTCTCCATGATACTTCGTAGACCTCTTGCACCAGTATTTTTGGCCATTGCCTTTTTGGCAATTAGCCTAAGTGCGGTTTCTGTAAAATGCAATTTAACCTGGAAAAGAAAGTTACCTAATAATTAAATGGAAAAAAAAAATCACATGAGCAACAAACAGTTGAGCTACCACATAAATCTACAGTTAGCGGGAGTAAGAGGCTTGTTTACACTGTTCATGCTAAACATTTTCTTGTATTGTTTGCCAAGAGCGTTCTTGGGTTCTGTCAAGACCTGAAACAGACGACACATTATGCATGGGTACCCAATGGCGTGATCAGAGCAAAAAATAGTAATGCAAGAATCACAGAACATACACAAAACTACATGCATGCCTACACACACATCTCTCTCTCTCTCTCTCTCTCTCATATCGGAGGGAAAAAAACCTAAATCACAAAAGCAACTTTTATTAATAGGGAAATAGGGCTACAACACAAACTGAAAATAGCATCACTCAAACATAAAATGACGAAACAACACCTCGAAAATGCGTCCAAGGGTGGTAGGGGTTGGCCAGGTGGGTTGAAATGACTAGCAGAGGAAGCGGCAGTTTGCCTACAGAACTGCAAGCTGTGGAGCTGGATGGTCGTCTTAAGACAACAGGGTTGGAGGCTGCAAAGTGGGTTGGAGGCAAATGGGGAGCGGCTAGGGTGGTCGGCGGCTAAGGGGGAAGGTAAGGTTTAGCGAAGATACAATCACCATCTCGAAGTAGGATACAGTCGGAGCACCATCATCTTATCAAATACAACCCACAAAGGGAAAAATGACTCCACAAAGAAATCTAAAAGCAATACATAGCAACAACTAAACCCTAAATCCAAAAAACAGTAATTTAAAAACTCACCGAGGGGAAACAGAGAAGGAAAACTCCCATAAGGAAATCACTGAAAAGGAAGGAGGGGAAAGGGATTGGCGGCAATGCTGCCCTTCGCAATATGCCGCTTGATCGAGCGGGAGGTGTGACGAGGCGGGAGATGCAAAAGGAAAGGCCGCCCGAGTTGTATGACGCCGCGCGGTACTTTGGAAGCTTGGACCGGGTCCACTGGACCAGTTCCCCATGCCAGTCGATTTAGTCGGCTAGCCCATTTCCTGCCTCTGTGTGGGAAATTCCCGCACACGTGTCCGTAAAGGGAAAGCCCCTCGTTAATCTCTCGATATTGGGAAAGCTTCGACTTCATCGGTTGAAGCCGACATCAGCTCCCTTAGTAGGTCAATCATGTCGGCGTTGTCATTCCACAACACATCCTGGTAGAATAAGTATTCATCCTCTTTTGGCAAATTCTGAGCTGGAACTGTAGGAAGACGAGTATTCTCACAGCTCAGTTATCGATCCATTTCAGGGGTAACCTGCTTCTTTCACCCCTCTTAGTCAGCTGCGTGTGGTTGAGGAACTGGTATGGGAGCAGTGATCAATTCTGAGGTGAAATTTGTGACAGGTTGCACCCTTCTCACTAGCACCCCCTCAAGAAAGACCTCTTCGTAACTGATAGGACTTGGATCCCATTAAAGAATTTTCATCCCCATATAACTCCTTGGACCCATTACAAAGCTAAGGTTTATCACCTCTTTGAATATATGACGAGAGGTACCATGCGGGACAGGAAATAACCTTTGAATGTCACCACGTGATATTCTCACCATGGTACAAATTATTCCTCTTCGGACCTGATGGACCTCCCCCGCAGGGATAACTCAGGAAGAGGTCTATCCATTTGAAAAATTTGTATTTCTCTTATCTGTGGTGGCCATGTATCTGATGTCGGCTCCTTAAGCTTGTGATCCTTCTGGATTACCAAGGTCCACCCTGTTGTTGCTCCTCTCAACTCCTACGAAACAGTATCTTGAGGTACCACGGTTTGATACGCTGCTTGAACTCTCATTACATCGAGGTCACTACCTTTTAGAACATCTACTCTTACCTCAGCTAGAATCACTATCTCAGCGTCCACTGGAACTGGTGGCATCACTTCCTTGCTAGATGCAAGTGGAGAATCATCTTGAAATTCTTCAACTTCTCCAGTATCAATTGTGTCATTGCCTAATTATTCAAACAACCCCCTGCTCAGTGAAGCGGTTCTCTCCCTAGGTGGTGCATTATGATTGGACATGCCCAAATCCGTGGCACTTGCAACACTTCCTGGTTATGATGGATTTAAGGATGTGACCGGGTCTCACTTGTTCTATACTATGGATCATGTTGTCCTCTGACAGCGTAGTCTTGGGTGTTCCCCTGGGTGCACTCTAGCTATAAGATCCCGAGGTTGACCGCCTGTAAGATGTGGGGGTTGCTCGATGGTGTGGTCCCTCCATTTATGAAGATAGAGTTTGTAGTTTCTGTATGTAGCGAGCTGGTAGGAATTGATAGTGTGTCTTCCACTTCATCCTCAAATTCTCTCGTACTCCTCTTCGACTTTCCCGATCAAGATCGAGGGTAACCTCCCATTAAATTTCATCCTCAATGTTAGTAATCCAACGCTGAAGTCGGCGAATCTCTCACCGTATCTCCTTCCGAGTAGGCTCGGACATGTATCTCATTGGTGTCATGACTAAGGTTTAGGAATAAGAAAGAAAAATTATGGTGGGTTAGGGTTTGGGTTGTGGAAAGAATATTTAGTGGTAGGAAAGCGTATTGGTTGATGGTGGATGTCTGGAAACTCTAGGATGGGACTAGGGTTAGGCTAGCTCTGCTACCGGATCGAAAAGACCCAAACCACAAAAAAAAAGGAAATAGGGATACAGCACACACAAACTGAAAATAACATCACCCAAACATAAAATGACAAAACAATACCTCAAAAGAGTGTCCCAAGGGCGGTAGGGGTTTGCTAGGTGGATCAGGATGACTAGCAGGGGTTGGGGTAGCAAAGATGGGGTGTTGGGCGGCAGGTTTGGCTGCAGAACAGCGGTTGCGGGGCTGGACTGCCGGGTTGGATGGGCCGGAAAACCGGTTAGGGGGCTGGAAAGTGGGTTGGAGGCGGTTGGGCAGCTAAGGGGGAAGGGAAGGGAAGGTTTAGGGAAGATAGAATCACCAGCTCGGAGTAGGATATAGCCAGAGCCGTCACCACCTCCTCAGATACAGCCCACGAAGGAAAAAAGGACTTCACACAGGAATCTGAAAGCAATACACAGCAAGAACTAAACCCTAAATCCAGAAAACAGTATTTTAAAGACTCTCATGAGGGAAAAACGAAAAAGGAAAGCTACCATAAGAAAATCACTGAAAAGAAAGGAGGGGAAAGTTATTGGCGACAATGCCGATGCGAAAGGAAAGGCCGCCTGGGTCGTATGAAGTAGCTCAGTACTTTGGAAGCTTGGACTGAGACCTCTGGACTGGTCCCCCATTCCAAACGGTTCATTTAGCTAGCTCGTTTTTCGCCTCTGTGCGAGAAAATCCCGCACCCACGTCCGTAGCAGAAAGGGGGAAAGCCCCGCGTCTCTCTCTCTCTCTCTCTTTCTAGAGAGAGAGAGAGAGAGAGGCGGGACATATATATATATATATGATATGCATATATCTTTTACACACCTTTTTAGATATTATCTTCAATCAACCCTTTTCTTTCTATTTACAATCATGCTAAATCCATCTCTCTACCTCAATGATCCATTTTCCACCTCGTCAAATATGCGTGCAAGGCACTTTTCTATAACATTGTCTTCAATTTACACCACCCACATGCTCTCTACATTTTACACTTCATCATTTCTAGAATTAACACATCTATATGAAACTTCTAATTCTCAGTGCAGATTATTCTAATTTATAATGCCCTTCAATGATCTCCTTATAGATGGTAAGATAAACCAGCGGCACCATAACAGTATGTGGAAGTCAAACATTCATAACTAAGAGCAGCCATCTCACCAACCTTCTGCTAATGCAATAAAATTTCCAAACCGCCATTTCAAAAAAAAAAAAAAAGGAAGACTGAAAGTTTGTATAAAAGATCATTTGTTATTTAAAGAATGGATTATCAAAATTATAGGAGTAGGCTTCCAAGTATCAAAGAATCTTGATGACCTGAACAAGCTGGTCTTCATTCAAAGCTGACAAGCTAACCAGTATTGGAAAGCGCCCAACAAATTCTGGAATAAGGCCATAGGCAATAAGATCGGTACTTTCAACCTGTCACCCGTAAAGGTTAGAGCCCTATCAGAATGCTAACAGTCATGAAGCTATGCAAAAGCACAAAGAGAATAACTTATATATTCTAGTATCAACTGCTTATTCATACCATAAATAACTTCTACTCTTACCGATTCTAACAAGGCTGATGTCACAATAGCATTAGAGATTCTACTGGCTCTCATATTTGCACGAACTGGTGCTCCAAAACCTATAGAAGAATCTTGCCGTCTGTTGGACACTGAAAAGGTCAGCCAACCTTAAATCTCAATCCAAACCAAATGGCTGATTGAAGAATAAGCCCAAAAAGTAGAAAACAGTTTGACCTCTCTGAAATGGTTTTCTCTAAGTCAACAAAAGCTCCGCCACATATAAAAAGAATATCTTTTGTGTCAATCTGCAATATGAAGACATTAATTAGTAAATTAATGCCGTCCAGATCATAATAAAGTTCCTTGAAAGGTATCCAAAAACATGGGTACAGTTAAGCAGACCAAAAACATGCAAAAAATGAACATCAACAATAAAAAATTCAAAATTGGGTCAAATTCTCCACAACCTAGTATGCTATTATAGATTGCTAAGAATGAAGCAACATATTTTTTTTTTACAGCTTTCTCATTCCAACCATAATATACAAACTCAAATAACATAAGCAGGCATAAGGAGTTCACAAAAGAAAATAAGTATGGCCATATTACAAGATTGAAATGTTCTAAATGACCTAGAATGACAAATTTTTAAGACAATGTTAGTACCTGTATATTGTCACCACGAGGATGTTTACGCGCACCCTTCTCTGGAACATTTACTATCTACAGCAAAATACAAGACTTAATTCCATTCAGAAAGAAGAATACAAGACAACTTTCCATTGCATTTGCATATAAAAACGTGATTCAACATAAACATTAGCCATAAAGGCAGCAGGAAGAGCAATCGGCAAGAGAAATTCATGTTGTTTTTGCTAAAAAGATGCCTGTCACAAAAGGTAGCAGGAAAATCAAGAAGCAATTCGGCAAGTGAAAATAGACGAGGTTTTGCAAGATAACGTAAGCCTTAAATGAGTTTCAGCAAACACACCATCCAATCCTCAGTTTCTTTTTATTTATTATTTTGTTTGCTTTTTCTGAATTTCGAAGGATGTAGAAACGTTTAGTAACTTAATATAAGAAAGTCAGAAACAAAAACATTTATTTGACATAGATTTGCACACCCAGCTATAAGATATGTGTAGCAAATTATTAAACACAATATTTGTCACAAAAAAGGAAGGATCGAATAAACTTGTGATGCGGGAGCGTCCCAAAGGATGCCGGAACGGATCCTGGAATAGAAGGAGCAGGATTCCCATCCTGTGTAAAACTATAGAGTGAAATTTCTTGCGACTTTTCTGTGGCAGGATTCCCATCCTGTGTAAAACTAGAGTGAAATTTCTCGCTACTTTGCTGTTAACGGGTCATTTGGACCCCATTTTCCTTTATTTTTGAATTAGAATTAGAGTTTAATTAACGACTTAGTATATTTATGGGGCTTAGAACCTAGTTTGGGGACTTTTGTTTTGATTTATATAATTTGAAAACTTTGTTGCTCTGATCGCTCCTATTTGTAGAGCTGTAGCCTTTTTTTTTTTTTTTTTTAAGTGGTCAATCACTATCTTGAAGTTAGCAAATGATAAATTCTCACTCGGTAGCCATACTTTCGCAAGATCGCCGTTTTGTCATTCTCCCTGCTGTTTTCAATCCAAGAAGCCGCCAAACTCCTTCAATTACCCTCCAACCCTGCCAACTTTGCATATCATTTTTCTCTTGCCTTTCCACAACCGCTTCCCACTAAATATGATATGAAACACTTAGAATACTAGAACGGAGTCTTTTAGTATCAGAGACAAATTCTAATAGTAAATCTTAGTACTAACCCTACACTTTTAAAATCAGTCCCTATACCTACCACCCAAAATCAACTTTAAATCCACAATTCTATCGTAGTCAAAACCCTAAAGTGAGGAGCAAGTTACTAAGCGCCCAACAAGAGACCCTCAAGTAGGTGCTCAGGAGCTTACCATGAAGGATATGCAGCAAGAAATCCTCAAATCACAGAAAAAGCTTGCTGATTTTAAAAGAAAGCAGTATAAGTAAGTCACCCGCAACAATAGTAACCACCCGAATGGAACACATCATGAAAACCCTTTTCAACAAGAAACCTCAAGCGACAAAGAGTTGATGTCGCGTCGATTTGAAATTTTATATAAGAGAGAGGGTGACATTCGACTGAATGTTGATTTGTTAGAATGTTGATTTGTTAGAATGTTGATTTGTTAGATTTTCACTGTCGTATGAATTCAAACGATTCATTAAGTGGCTCCAGATAGTGGAACCGATCTTTGAATACAAGGACATTTACACCTGACAAAATAGTGAAGCTAGCTACCATCAAGTTAAACAAGAGTGCTTCCCTGTGGTGGGAGAACTTGAAGCACTTGCAAAAATATGAGGCAAGAGTTCCAAGATGAAGAGAGAGATGTAGCGCAACTACCTCACTACACACTAAAGATAGGATATCCTTTTGAGACTTCAACATTTATAATAGAAATATCTATCAATAGAGAAAAAAAATACTAAGTTTAAATAACTCATGTTAAAATGTGAGTTACTGGATCTAGAGAAAAACACCATTGCTCAATATCTTGAATTATTATGGCCGTCCCCTGACTGTGTGGTGTAGTTATAGCCATATTAGACTTTACAGGATATCCAAACCCTAACTTTAAAGTTTGAGAAGCAGCATAATAGAATTAGGTCCACTCCACCTTTAAAATAAGGTTCGACAATTAGGTCTGGCAGCAAAAGCACAACGACCATAGTACCAAGACTTGTTGCAAATGAGGAGAACCAACATAGAAAAAAGGACTAGACCGCACCAGCACTCCCAAGACATTTTCTAGCCAAAAAAAGATTTAAAGTATCATGAATACGATCGCAATGCACCCAACTACCCAAACAGAAGAGTAATTTCATTTACTAAGCTAGTACAACGGAAGAGGCAAAGAGTGAAGGCTTGGAGGGGAAGAATGGAGAGTACTAGTTACTTGCGAATGATGGTGAGATGCATGTGGCTCGACGAATTCTTCAGACAGACCGAGAGAGATTAGCAATAACCTATATATAACACATTTCATATATGTTGCAATGTGAAAAGGCTGTGCAATCTCAATAGAGACTGAAGCAGTTGTAAGAATGTAATGTCTACAAACGATGTACAAATTATGTCTTACTACCCATAAGTATTCTCAACGATTTTCCCTAATTGGGTAGAAGGGGAATGAATTAGTGTTGACAAGAGATGATTAGAAGGATTTTCCATTGGAGACAAGTGGTAGAATCGATGTGGTATGATGTCATTCATATAAGTGCATTTTACATTATTTTGGGCCAACCATAACAATATCATGAGGCACACTACATGACAAAAACAAAAAAACTTACAAATTTATCAAGGATAAAAAATTTATTGTGTTTCTACCATTGAAGAAATCACCAACTATGAGTACTCAAGATAGAGAGGGATGATTTAAATACCCGAGATAGGTTATGTCGATTGGTCTGTCCAAAGCCCCATGTATTTTTATAAGGCTGATAAATCAGAGTTTCAAACCTTGCATTGAGCAGTTCGTTGTTGGGTATTTTGATGACAACTTGGTGCATAGTCGTACAAAGGAGGAGCATTCATAACACTTATGACAGGTAATTGAAATTCTTCGAATAGTGTAACCAAATGGCAACCCGAGGAAGTGTCATTTTCTAACACCGCATATGTGATTTCTTGGATATATAGTTTTAAAAGTCGACATCGAGATGGGCCTCACTACAATCGAAGCTATTGTGAACTAGCCCAGCCCACAATCATTCACCCATGTAATTCAATTATAATGACATCTTTTTAAAGAGATTTATCAAAAACTTTAGCCCTATTACAACACCATTAACAAAGTTATTCAAGATAGACAGACTTGTTTGGTCAGAAGGGGCACGGACTAGTTTTGATGCCTCAAAGAAATAGGTGTTTGAAATGGAGTGAGATGCTTACAATATGAAAATTGGAGCAGGGTTAAAGCCAAAGAGGAGAGCCCATTGCTTATTCAGTTAGAAGTTGAATATGTCCAAGAAAAAATAGTATACCTATGTTGATGAGTTTTATGCTATCGAGAGCCATCAACCAATGGAGGTCATTATCTGTTGGCAAACGAATTTACTCTATACACTAATCACGAGATCCTAAGATTCTTCAACAACCAGAGTAAATTAAATGAAAGACATGCCTAAAGGATGAAATTTCTCACTTATTTTTATTTTGTGCTAAAATACAAAGCTGGGAGCCAGAATAAGTTTGTTAAAATCCAGAGTCATCGTCATTTGTTGATTTCTACTATACAATCTATGGTGGTTCGGTTTAAAGTGTTGAAAGATTTTATGATATTGATGGAACTTACAAAAAAATTGGGGCTCAATGCCAGAAGAGACCTTATAAGCAAGATCACATATGTGATGGTTATATGTTCTTCTAAAATATGTTGTGCATTCCTAGGAGTTCACTCAGGAATGCTCCTTCAGAGTGTCACAATGGAAGGATCATAGTAATAAGACATTTTTTTTTAGTGAAAGAAAACTTTTACTTGCCCAATTTGACACAAGATGTGGAGGGGTATGTTAGATTGTGTAGAATTTAACCAAAACCTGAGGGCAAACTACAGAACTATATACTTCCCTTTTCATTCAAGAGTCACCTTGAGTGGATGTGAGCATAAACTTTATTGTAGGTCTCTCATTGACCCAACTGAGCAAGAACTATGTTATGGTGATAGCGAACCGATTCTCTAACATGGCACGTTTTATACCTTCCACAAAATATTTGATACCTCACACATTGCAAACTTGTACTGTAGAGCAGTAATTCACCTACATTTTGTGTCCAAGACCATCATTTTAGACAGTGATATGAAATTTCTAAGTCACTTTTATAAGACTTTATGGAGTAAGCTAAGTATAAACTCTAATTCGGTTCAACAACACACCAAAAAATAGATGAACAGACATAGGTGATGAATTACAACTTAGGCAGCATATTTAAGTATTTTGTGGGTAAGAATATTAGACACTGGGGTTTGATCAATCCCTAGGTCGAGTTTATTTATAATCGTTTAACTACTCAATTCACAAGTCACAGTCCCTTTGAGGTTGCATATGAGTGAAATACTCTCATAATTTTGGATTTAGGGTTATTACTGCCAACTACTGAGCTTCGCTTGGATGTCGAGGTTCATGTTGTAGAGATTCAAACCATTCACTAGCATGCGAGGGAGGAAATCATCAGTAAAATACAAAGTACTAGAGACAAGCAATAAGTCCAAAAAATCCTAAGTTTTCAAGGAAAGATATTTAATATAAATCAGATTAGAGAGGCTTTCTGCAGGTTCTATAGGGAAGCTCAATCCCAGAGCTGATGGTCCATTTAGGATTGTCAAGAATATCAATAACAATGCATACAAGATTTATTTACCATGAGACTACAATGTTTCTGCTACATTTAATATTGCTTATTTTTCCTTGTACTATAAGGATTCCCTTGCTTCTAGAGATGTAGACAAAGTCCCCGGTGCCCATGGAGATTGACACAAAAACATGTAGACAAAGTCCCCGGTGCCCATGGAGATTGACAGAAAAACATTTAAAAGAACATTATATAACATCTTGGGATGGATTGGGCTGAATTCCCATCTTGTGTGAAACTTTAATGAGAAATTCCCACTAATTTACTGTTATGGATTGTAGACCTTATTGGGGGAATAGTGGAGGGAAGTCACAAGAATTTGAACAAGTACAGGGGCTTTGGAGGGGCTTGCAGGGGGGTTATTACGGGATTGGTTGTGTAGGGGGAATAGGATTACAGGCTGACCAGTAGAGTGGCGAGAGGTTAACAAGAATGGTTGGGTGGGGGATTAGAGGCTGACCTGTTTAGTGGATAGGAGTTAACAACTGCATGGGTGTGGTTTGCTACAGCGGGGAAGGACGGGCTTTGAGTAACGACAGGAAAGGAATAAGAGTTACGGGTGGCTGACAGAGGAATAGGCAGCTGGAGTTGTTTGGTATGAAGGCAACAGTGGTTGGGCGAACGGAAGAGGGCGGCGGCAGCAGGTGAGTAGAGTGGAGGTGGAAGTCAGAGAATATAATTACTACCAAAGGATAGGGATACAGTCGGAGCACCACCCCTTACGTTCCTCGAAGGAGAAAACAGGACGCGACAGCTGTCCTCACAAATTGAAATCAGAAAATAACATGAGCTCAACCCTAAGGCATAAAAGCACATATAAATAGAAGAGGGATTGACAGGAAAAGAAAATAGGAAGGGGCCGGTTCAGCCCCCTCTCTCAACTGAACCAGTTTGGGCCAAAACGGTTCAGTTTTTGGAGGAAAACCCTCGTGTAATTAATTAAGAAACCAAATATTGATGAAATAAAGTAAGATAAGAAAGATCCGATCAAGGTTGTTGTTACTTCAAAAACCAAAGAAAATTCTACTATCTTCATGTTCACTTTCTAGCAAGTGATGCAATTTAATCACCTCTTGGCAATATCACCTCTTGTGCTAATTAGCTGTCCTCCATGAAGATTTAAGATTTTAATTCCAATCGCTTCACCATGTTCCACCTACCCTTTTTGATGGCCAAAAAAAGAAGGAAGATCGCCCCTATTGTATTTCTATTTCATTTCTCCAACATGAAACATTTCTTGGCCAGCCTATAGCATTACATAATCAACTCGTACAATTAACCCTTGCAGTAGAAAAGATCAGTTCTCTATGATAAACGTTCCACTTTCCCAAAAATGACAACAACAAAAGAACATGTAATCCATTGGACCTTTCATTACAGTCAAAAAGATTGCTCGAAGGGAGGCATATTCTGGGAACAAAAAATGCATTTGAAAAAAATCTCCTCTATGCTCTATGTTAGGGATAGGTCCCTTTCCCTTTCTTCAAACTGATTTATTTTTTAAATATAAAAATTTCTAATCAATGATTAAACAAAATTCATTTTGCATCCTATATTACAGAAATTGATCAGATATACGGGGACAAGCAAGAAAAACAATTAATTTTGAGAGATAAGTAACTTTTCAATAATTTTTTGGATATTATAAAGAATCCGATGCATTAAAGACAAAAACTCGCCACCATTTAACCTTCAAAATTCACAAACACCTAATATTCATGTTCCATACTTTTTCCCAAAATAATTAGCCATTTTGAATAGAATAAAGATAATCACTATTTTTTATTCATGCAAACTGATGATGGCACCGAGAAGAATTAAATAGAGCAAAAAGTTATGAGCCTTCTAATTTAATCACAGCATTTAAAATTTTTCCATCAAGTATTAAGGGGTTTCTTTCCATGAGATTAGATGGAAGTCTCAAAGTATTTTGAGAAATCATTAAATAAAGTAAAATTATGAAAAATAAAGTATTTAAGAGTGATGACTTTAAATCAAAACATAATATAATAAAAAATTATTCAAATACTCAATAGTGAATAAAAATTCTAAAATAAATATACAAAATAAATAACAAGTCTAAAATAAACATATAAGCATGTCCTAGAATGAACTAGGTTTGACATAGAATTCTAAATTCAAAAGTTTCTCCCACTCCCATCACTTAAAAGGTCTTCATCGGAATCACTTAGGGGATGTTTGATTTGCTGCAAAAAGAGTGCATTGCATTCCTTCTGCAGAAGTTTAAAAAATCAGGGTGTTTTCTCATATGAAGTTCAACTACGGTATAAAATTACAACGCATTTGAAATTCATTCTCTAGTTCATTTTCAATGTATTTTGAATTCGCTAAATTTGTGCTGTTTTCAAATACACCGCTTTATATAAAGTATCGCTTGCCGCCATCGCCATCGCCATCGCCATCGCCGTCGCCTACTAGCCCCATATTTAACATTGATTTCATCTTACTTCGGACCAAACAAGAAAATATGAAGTCATGAATATATTTTACACTGCACCAAACAACTTCAATTCCAAACACACAACAGCCCTTTTACTATAACAAACTATTTCAAAGTATTCCTAATACTATATATTCCTTGTCTCCCTCATTACTGGCTTGTATCAGCATCCTCTCAAATTAAAAGAGCGTGTTTTGGCTGTCATTTTTATTTCAGCCCAACCCATAAAAATATGAAAATGGAGGCTTGTGTCTCTAAAATTGCCTTAATGCCCACCTCGCTAATTTGAGGCTTGCTCCTATTTTCCCAACGTAAAGCTCAAGGCACTTTGCAAGCACCACCCTAAGGTGAGCCTCTGGACAAATTATTGTGCACATTTTCATCCAATGGCTTATTTAAAGGTACTCCAATAAATTTAAGTCTTTTTGTTGACTGGATTGTTTACGTCCCATTATGAAAATTAATAACAATACTCAAAAATATTTTTCATTAATACAGGAACTTCTGTACCCAAAAAAGTCAAATACTAAATAACAGTCACTTTGATTTTACCAGGCAAGCTAAGACGTGAGCATTTGCACAATATCTTCAACAGTGAAACAAAAAATTGGTCTACATGCTCAAGAAGTAGAATGTATACATGAATGTTGATTTCTAAAGCTTTCGGAGGAAGTGATTGCATAGCTTTGTCACAGTAGCAGCTTGTTAAAAAAGAGCATTTGTAAGCAGTTTGGAGGATTTCAAACATGACTGACAAAACATGATTTACAATACACGTGGTTATTTTTGCATCAATTACAACTTCATTAGTCTAACTCGTAATTGGCCAATGGTGACTCGACAATTAAAAAGCGGAGGAAATAAAATATTAGCCTGTGGTTAATAGAAACTAATCCAACCAACATGAAATATGTTTTTACAGGACTTTCCCCAAGAGAAGCTTTCCATAAGCCAGTCAAAACATTTTTCAAGCAAGTTAGGCACTAAAATGTTCTCTTTGAAGGATATTGAGATTTTTTTTAAGTAATCATCGCTTCAAAAGCAAAAATCAGGAGTCACGCTCTCCAAACAACCCATTAAAAAGGCTGACTTCATTAGCTCACATGTGATTAAAAGCTTTCTTAGCCTCATTAGTGGACCGTAAATATTGTTCTCATCAATACAATTCATGAGTAAATTGCATATTTTTATGGACTGTTTAAATGATATCAGAATGCTTAGGCCCGTCAAGAACAGCTGAATGAAATTATGTCTTGAAAGCAAGTAAAAACTGTTCTCAAGATTTTTCTGTATTTTTTAAAACAGAACTCATTTGATTTACAAGACATAAAATACAGCAATCGCAGCTAAACAAGTTTTTAGTACCCCTTTTCTGATTTGTGAAATTCAGAAAAAAAAAATAAAAACAAAAGCAGTTCCAAACGCTGCCATAAATAAACAGTATAGATCAAAATATCTCAGACAATATATTATGAGAACTAAAAGATAAACCATCAGACATTCTGCAGAGGTTGACACAAAATAAATAGCTAAAAATTTGCTAATGTCACACGAAAGAAAATATTACACGGCATATTCTCTAGAATGAGTGAAAAACAGAAAGCTCAAAGGTTTAGAACTTTCAAATAATACCCAACTTTGCTCATTTGCATACGAAATTATGTTAACAAGCGTACCTTAAAAAAATTGAATAGAAGCAATACATTGAATAAAAATTGAATTTGATGACTCACAGTTCCTTCAAGCATTTTCAGTAGCGCTTGCTGCACGCCTTCACCAGATACATCTCTGCTAATATTTAGACTCTCAGCCTGCATAATAAGAAACAGGCATTAACACCATATAAATGATAATATATGCTGAAGCATTTGCGTAGTAAATCACAATACCTTCTTAGTAATTTTATCAACTTCGTCTATGTACACAATACCCTGCTGTGCAGCTTGCACATTGAAGTCAGCAACCTAGAGACAGAAAGAAATAAGATGCAGGCACATGATAAACTGGGGAGTGGCTTCTCACGTAAACATGAATTTATGATAGATGAACTCTATAGCAAACACACGCACTAATGATTGATGACGTGAGTTGAAAATGGATTCATCATTATTCTGTTGTGATTCATATTAACCTAAAAAAAAACATTTCGTTACTTAATATACCCACCTAACATCTTCTTGAGATTTTTTATTCTATAGACTTCACATATCTTTAATGTTATGGATCATATAGTACTCATGAATTAATTCAAACATGGATTCATTAGTTTTGTAACCAGATTCATAGAAACTGAAATAAATAAAAAGCCTTTCTTTTTTTTTTCTTTTTTTTTTCTTTTTTTTTCTTTTTTGAGGTGAAATTTTCTAGAGATAGTTATATTTTACTCATAAAAAGGTAACTAAATACCTCATTTTTTTTACCTATTAGCTAACCATTTTGTATGGAAAGTATGGTTGATTTTAATTCGAGGCGGAATAGAATAATGAAGGGCTGAAATTTAAGTTAACATTCTTCACCGCATGTGTATCCATTGTGATAAAGAGATGAATGAAGATATATCTCAAGCCAAGAAGCGTCTTACCAGCTCTTGTCAAACATCTAAAAAGAGTAATGTGACTAAATGCAAGAAAGTTTATTCAAATGCAGAAGAAGATTTGGTTGCTTAACAAGAAGAAACGAACAAAGTTGAAATAAAAATTTATGTATGAAATATAATGGAGAGTAGAAGAGATCGTTAAAAAAATCAGATATTCAAATGTTCATGGATAGTGAAAAAAAACCTTGGAATCAAATTTTGAAGGAAAAAAATATCGACGCACCAAGGATTGGGTTAAACCCTAAGATGAAATATCCTACTTATCATTTCCTATGTCTGTAATCTGAAAAAGAAGTTGCAAAAATGAACTAAATGTGAAATAAATGAGACTCAAAGAGAAATTAAACAAAGGACTAAGGAACGGAACCAAAAAATATATAGCTAGGTGGTTCTATCAAGCAAGCATCCTATCAATGCAAAGACTTGCATCCTTTCAACGCAAAGAAGTCATACAAATTTAATTATATGATACAGGTTATTATAAAATATGGAATGGGTTTCGAACCCCCACCTAATTATGAGTTGAGAGTTCATCCACTTAAAAGAGAAATATAGGCAATCATAAAAGATGTAAGCAAAATAAATTTGGCGAAATTCTTATATCAAATGGGTGACCTATCATAAAGACCGATCAACACTAAGGGTCTGTTTGGTATCACTTTCTGTTTTTTGTTTTTAATTTTAGTTTTAGTTTTTTTTCCTACTTTCTGGTTTTAAAAAATGTGTTTGGTACTGTTATGCTTTATGGTTTTAAAAATAAAAAATATAAAACAAGTTTGGTTTGGTGTAATTTATTTTTTTAAGAAGAATTATATTTTTATAAAACGATTAAGTCGACATGACATTCCAGTATTAAACTTCGATGCTCATTACATATATGACATCTTCCTTGCTCCACCCAGCATGAATCATTACATGTGCGGGTAGCGCCGGGAGGTGGGCGGCGGGGAGGAGGCGGGTGTCAAGAGTGTGGCGGGTGGCGGGTGGCGGGGCTGCAAAAGGCGACGGCAGGCGGCGACGACTGCAGGCGGCAGCGAGCTGCAGGCGGTGGCAGGCTGTAGGCAACAACGGAGCCCGACAGCGTGTACTTTCTGAAGACTTATTTATAATATGTGTTTAGAAACGGGCTTGTTTAAGGTGTTTTAAAAACAATAAAAATATGTTTTTTCTATTTTAGATATTTTAAAAACAGATGTGTTATTTCTAAAAATAAAAAACAGTTAAACAAATATTATCTTTCTATTTGTTTCTCGTTTTTTGTTTTCAAAAACAAAAAACAAGAAACAAAAATTTATCCCAAACAACCCCTAAATTTTTCAATTAATTTAACTCTCCACTAACTACAATATTCGTGGAATCAATTATGCAGCTGAATATTCAATATTGCATTAAAGCTCGTTAAACTCCTTGATGAATAAATTAAAGAGATTGGAGAAGAAAATAAAGTGCAAGCGGTTACAAATAACTACTTTAGTAATGTTCTAACATGTTAGTATTCATAATATTTAATTTACACGCAGATAGATAGATAGATAGATATGTGTGTGTGTGAGTGCGCGCGTGTGTTACATTATGAACATAACATCCTCACTATTGCAACATTAAACAAAAAAGGGAAATTGCGTTTGTTCAACTATGAAAATTAGAATAAATCTAGATGTAATGTTCATTATAAAAAAGAAGAAAAGCTAAGGAAATTATTCTTGGAACTATAATTTAGAATGGCGTGGCCTATACTTTAAAAGTTATAAACTCAATAATTAAGATGTTCAGGTCAGTAGATGGTAACAAGCAACCAGCTATAGGTTAGCTTTATGATGTAAAGGACAAAGTGAAGAATGTAATTACTGATGAATTTGGGGTAGATAAAAGCAAGAGCAAGTCTATCATCAATAAAAAATGGTAGTGTCAACTCCATTAATCATTCATTCCATCAGTCAACTATTACCGTCACCAAAAGTTTATTTACAAGAATAAATCTATGACACAAATGGACAATGGAGAAGGATTTATATGGGATTATTCGGTATTTACCGTCAATTATTAATTAAAACTTTTATATAATTTAAAATGTTCATCAAATTTTTTTATCCGATATTATGATTTTAATATAACAGCGTTGAGAGATATATTGTGCATCAAATTTACAAAAATTGATTTGAGATTTCAGAATTTACCTACTACCTTGAGAGGAATAGGAGTGCTATCAAAGAGGTTAATAATTTATTGACTTTGAATAAATAATTTAGTTGCTTTGTGCATTCTATTATAATTTTTTTTATAGATTCACATAAAGAAGTGAAATCGGTTAGATAAAGCATCTAAATGTCTTGGTGTTCATAAGTATAATTAAACTTAGAAAAAAATTAATTAATTTAAGAGATATTATAAATTTAATTAGTTTGGTTGGTATTGCTAAAAGAGGAGAGTGGAAAACTGAGAAAACAAAGAATATTGGTAGGGTAGATTTGGGCAAAAACCACATTAAGAGAGAATATTGGTGAGGTCGATTTGGGCAAAAACCTCATTTAGAGATAAATTGAAGAAGCAATATGAGAAGCTGATTGAAGTTGCTCAAACATAAGATGAGTTTCATATACAATGAGTGCAACTTCATCTCAGCATACATCCACTTCTATTGTTTTTCGAGAAGAAAAAGAGATTGGCCTACAAGATCAAGAAGAAAAAAATAAAATAAAGAAGTTCCACTTGAAGAAAAAAGATTATAAGCACCGGGGCACTGAAGGAAAAAAGAATCCTTATGCATGGCATTGCACTCTGCACTTTGAAAACGTTGATCTCATGTAAAGCGGAAAAATTGAGACACAAAAGCTTGCAATAACATTGAAAGAAATAACATTTAATTGAATCATAGATTAAATATACTTTAAGCATAAATTAAGCTAGAGATCAAAACGGATAAAAGTAAAATCGTACTAAACAAGAGTAAAACTAAAACATCAGCCAAGCTTATTTTTAAAGAGGCTTTTTAACCACCATTGAAAAGCATGAATCTTATCAAAATTCATACTAAAAACAAGTGGGAGTAACTTGAAAAGATTGCATTGACCAGACATAACTTTAAAAATCTGAGTTGTCCTTCAAATGACAGCATATCATGATGCTGACGCAGCTAACAATGGATATTGATTTTCCCAAATTGCTGCAGACATGCTATGATATGCTCCTGTCGGCGCTTAAAAGAAAGGGGGGGAAGGGAAAGAGAGATTTGGATGTTTGGGG